CGAGGTTTTGTGGTGGAACCGGAGCACCTACAACTTCTGAAGGCAAGCCATTCCACTGATTTAGTTTTCTCACTGTCAGGAAATTTCCCCTTAGTTTTAGGATGCTTCTCTCCTTGATTAGTTTCTACCTTTTTCTTCTTATTCTGCCTTCAGGTGCTTTGGAGAATAGGTTGCCCCCCCCCCCCGCCTTTCTTTGTGGCAGCCTCTCAAATATTGTTGTATTAAATATTGATGTCCGTCACTTAACATTGGACTATGAAACAATTAATTTTGAAGCTGACATTGATAAATAATGTATCAAACATTTAATGGGAAAGTATGAAGCCTTACATATTGAAACCATCATTGAAGAGATAGACAAATATATTTTAAATTAAATTTGACCTGAAATTGAGTCCCAAACGATTCCTTTGAATGGAGCAGATTAACAGAGTTGGAAGGGGCCTTGTAGGTCATCTAGTCTTTTTTATAGTGTGGTGACCAGAGCTGGACTCAGTATTCTTAGGTGTGTCTTACTAAGGCTTTATAGAGTGGTAATAGTACCTCACTTGATTTTGATTGCATCCCTCTGTTAATGCAATTTAGGATTGCATTTGACTTTTTTGGCTGCTGCTGCACACATTTGGCTCATATTTAATTGGTTATCCACTAAGACTCCAAAATCTCTCCCACAGTTACTGCTATTAAGCCTGATTTCACCCAGTCTATATGTAAAACGTCTAAGTGTATATGCTATATGTATAAAGCAGTTTTTTTCCAAGATGAATCCAGGGCTTCTCCTTTGGAGCAGGTTATTTTAATCATGTTGGAAATATTTGGAGCTTGCAACAGAATTGTTTGCTGCTTGAAATACTTGTGAAGCATTCAAAAGAGCTCTTACAAAATAAGTGTTTGGCACACCCAATAATTACTTCATACTCGGGAGTTTATGCCTTAAGTGGAGTTTATAGCTGCCATGTTTTTCACAGCACAGCTATTTATGGAGATCTGCATGGTTTGCAGGTGAAAGAGAGGTTTCTGATGAAAAAAGCGACTTACGATTGATCCTCGTACTTATGACCATCGCAATGACCGTTTGGTTACGTGATCATGACTCAGCTGCTGAGCAACTGGTATAGATTTAGAACAGTTGCAAAATTCTAGGGTCATGTGATCACCAATGACAATCTTCCGACTGGCTTCTAATAAGCCAAATCAATGGGTAAGCTGGTAGGGAAGTTGCAAATCACAGTGAGTGAGTGAGTTAGTGAGTTAGTTAGGAAATTTCACCTAGAACTAAGGAGAAACTTCCTAACAATTAGAACAATTAACTAGTGGAACTGCTTGCCTTCAGAGGTTCTGGGTGCTCCATCACTGGAGGTTTTTAGGAAGAGACTGGATATTGTGTTTCCCCGAAAATACGACCTGTCCTGAAACTAACACCTTGCCACATTTTTTGTGTGGGCAAAAATATAAGCCCACCCCCGAAAATAAGCCCCCTGGATAACCCCCCCCCTCCGGCCAGGTAGTGCACCACTCACTGACTTAGCGGTATCCCGAAGGAGCCAAACCGCAGAACCCGGTGGCGGAAAGGCCCTCACATTGCTTGGCGCTTTCGGGATACTGCTAGGTTGGGGAGTGGCGTTCTGCCTGGCCGGAGGAGGGAGTTGCTGGGCAGCTCCTCCCTTGCAAACTGGCGCCCGAAGAGCCGCGTACAGCCTCAGGGGCAAAGCAGCCATGAGGTGACCATGCTCATGAGCAGCCTCCCGGCAAACCCCCTCTCCAGCTGGGCAGAACGCCATTCACTGACCTAGGGGGTATCCCTAAGGTGCCAAGGCACCCGCTCCCCAGCTCCCGCGGCTTGGCACATTAGGGATACCCCCTAGGTCAGTGCATGGAGCTCTGCCCAGCTGGAGCGGGGGTTTGCCAGGCGGCTGCTCATGAACATGGTCACCTCATGGCTGCTTCGCCCCTGAGATTGTGCCCGGCTCTTTGGGAACTAGTTTGCAAGGGAGCAGCTGCCCGGCAATCCCAAAACAATAAGCCCTCCCCCTATAATAAGCCCAAGGCCATGTTTTGTGGGGCAAAAGAAAATAAGACCCTGCCTTATTTTCGGGGAAACACGGTTGCTACTTATATAGAGTAGTGATGGTAAACCGTTTTCTTATAGCGTTCCAAAATTGTGTGTGCTCACACCAATTCAATCCTTCCTGACACACACACCCAGCACATGCGTGCACGACCCCTCCCCAGGCTCCAGAGGCTTTCCTGAAGCCTGGGGGAGGCGAAAACGGCTTCCCACGGCCCGCCAGAGGCCCTCCAGAAATAGTTTGCGAACTTCCGGTTGGCCCATTGGAGGCTTTTTTTTGCCTCCCCAGGCTTCAGGAAAGACCCTGGAGGCTGGGGATGGCAAAAAACTGCCCCAATGGGCCAACCGGAAGTTTGGAAATGACCCGTTTCCAGCTTCTGGAGGGCCTCCGGGGTGCTGGGAGAGCCTGTTTTTGGTTTCCCCAGGTTTCACGAACTTCTGGTTGGCAACTTTGGGCCGTTTTTCACCCTACGCAGCCTCCAGAGGCTTTTCTGAAACCTGGGAAGGCCGAAAACAATCCCAAATTATTTGCAAGGATTGGGTGTTGTATATTGCATATTTCATCTGCCTTTTTCTTAATGAGTTTTTGAGTTAATGTACCAAAAAAATGACAAAGAGTAAAGTATATTTTACACTGCAAAAAATATAACGGTGGCATCCAGAACATCATGAGAAGGTTCTTGATGACTGTGGTCTGGTTTGTGTGTTTTTCAATCAGGAGAAGATGTCAGTATTGTGAGCTTTGGTGTCTTCGGTCAGGCCTGTGGACCGTCTGTTACATCGGGAATCCTCTCAGCTGTGATCACCGTAGAAGATAAGCCAGTGATGCTCCAGGCAACCAGTGCAGTTCACGGTGGCTCAAGTGGAGGCGCCCTCTTTGGCACCCACAGTGGGAAACTTCTAGGTAAGGTGGATAGATAAAGAGTGGATTTGCAACCAACCAAATTCTCTCAACTGTTGACCCAAAATAGGAACATCCAGAGCAGCAATATAAAGAAAAATTGGTGGTGTGTAATGATTACACTTTCTTTGTTCTTGAACTCACTTCTTGAGGATATCAGCTTGAAGAAAATAAGTTTCTAGCTTTCAGTTCAAGAAAGGCAAAATTGTTGTCCTTTACACATCACTGAACTACAATTCTCAGCAGACCAGATGCCTCTAGCAGGGTTCCACCACAAAACCGTGTTCGACTAAAGCGCGCTCGACGAAACCGCGTACCTGACGTCATCACAGTGCGACGAAAAAAGCACGCTGTGAACGCTAAAGCTAAAAACTTATTTTCTTCAAGCTGATATCCTCAAGAAGTGAGTTCAAGAACAAAGAAAGTGTAATCATTACACACCACCAATTTTNCTATGCAATTACTACCCTCATTAACAAGGGTTGCAATGGCCTGGGATCAATGCTTCAGTTATTAAAAAGCCACGCTGGTTGCAATTGGTGGAACAGTTTCTGGTTGATGTAATAAAACAGAAAAAAATGGAATTAGTGGAAAATTTTTAGAGATTCAAAATAAAGAAAGCTGACTGATACAGATGTTAAAAGAAAGAGTCTGGCACTATTAGAAATGGAGGAATGTCAGCTGGGATAAAAGTTAAAACAGGACAGTTGCTGAAAGTGAGTCACAGTGATTCAGTTGTTGCTTTACAAGTAGAGTGAAATGACAGCCTGCCTTCTCAAGTTACAAGTGCATCAACAGAATGACTGACTGCAAAAGAAAACAAGTGGCATATTCAACAGTAGCAAAGTAAATCATTCCATGTATGATTCTAATGGATGCCATACAGATTGTCATTTATTGCAGAATATTCCATGAGTTCATATGAACATACTAGAGAAATTAACCCCACACAGCACTTCTATATGTTGACCCTAAGCACTAAGATCTGTGACGCCACTAAACTTCCAATCCAACACTGTCCCCATAATATTCCAGAACATTATTTTCTGGCTGTCACAACCATGTTCATCACGGTTTCAGCTTCTTGCTAGGTCATGCTGACACTGGATTCATTGGTCCCTGATAGGATGACAGGCTGCCATTTCAGCCCCTCTCCTTAAGAGGCACTGCTGTGTCCTGGCACCTGGTCTCTATTATCTCCCCAGTCCTCCTCCTCCACCCCACCTCAAGGATTGTTTTATGGTTGTGCAATGTGGTTCTGCCTATTGGCTTTAGGGATTGTTTCTTCTGTCATGGTTTACATCGCCCCATCAACTGTAAGACCCCTTACAAATATTCCCATGATTATTTCTTTCCTGTCTTTAGAACGCAACACTGGTTTTTTTTTTCACCCCCATTATTTCCGAACAAGTCTTTTTGCAGGATTTGACTATGCCTTCGTGAAAAGTTTTAATAATTCAGCCAATTTAACAGCTGGATCACTGCCTAACAAGGCGCGGCAACGGCAGAGAACTGTTGAGTGAGGACCCCTATATTGTGCTCTCGAGTAAAATAAAAGACATAATAAAAGATGCAGTAAGGAAATCTTAAACGTTGGATGAAATAAAAGCTTGACCACCATCACCACTCTGCCTTCTGAACAGGGCAATCTGAATGCACGAACGCAGCTTGGGAGGGCTGCGCTCATCTTCCTGCGACGTGCCTGTCTATCTGTCGTGAGCACCCAAAGGAACGGAAGGGACCCTAACCAAGCAAAATCAAATGCAATGCACTTTGCCCAGAGCAAAGCGCTCACCTGCACTCTGCCTTCTGCTTATAATTTAACGCTGAGAAAACCCGCGAGGAGTTGCTCCGCACGTTGCAACCCGCTTGTTATCTGGGCTTCAACTCTCACAAACGAATGATACCAAACACGTAACAGGTATGGCGAGAAAAAATAATAATTAGAAGCCAAAGACCAGTAGCAGAAAACGATAACAAGCCACCCTCTCGGCAACAGGCGAAACCCCGCCGTCTAGACACCCTCTTTACCTTTCATCCAATCCACCACTTGATTCGGCGTCCATTTACTGACAGGTTCCATAATGAGCGCCATGTGGGGGTGGCGGACTACGATAATCACTTCTTCTTAGGGGCCGCTGAAAGGGCGATGGAAGCGAGCAGAGTCCGGGTGGCCTCGAAGGGCGGTGGGCTTTGAATTCAGCTCCCAGCGTTTACAAGACTACGCCGCGTTTGTGAAATGCGCCTCGAAACAGCCGCCTTCTTCTCCGGGCTTCTCTTCCCTGCCTGTCTCCGTGGGCGCGCGGTGCCTGTGGATGATTGTGTGCCTCTGGAGCTTTCCGTTCCTGTTGGTGCTTTAGCGGGAGCCGGAGAAAGCGGCTGCTGCACGCTCCGCCGCCTACAGCCTGCCGCGCCCCCACCCGCGACCTGCAGCGCCAGGATGCTGGAAATGGGTCCTGGCGCTGCTCCGACCGCGGCTGTGGGAGCTGAAGGCTCACGAGACTTAACCACCCTGCGGCGTAGCCCGCCGCTCGCGCCCGGCTCCCTTCGCGCCTTTTTCTCCCTCCACTGAGCGACCCCGCGGGATGTTCCCTCGCCAGCTTTCCCTCCGGAGCTGCACGCTTGTCGCACGTTCTCTGCTCCCCTCCCCCTCCAAAGAGCCCACCTTTCCCCCACTGGCGGAAATGACGAGATTGGATCCGAAAATATCTTAAGCCAAACGGTCTCCCTTGTGCTCTTTGGGGAGCAGGTCGCTCGTGTGATTTGCGAGCGGCAGTCTTTCGAAGAGAGGCATGGCTAGAAAAGCGCCCCTCTCCCGCCGCCGCGTGGAGAAAGCAGTCGGCGAGAAAGCGGCGAGAGAGGGGCGCTTTTCTAGCCATGCCCCTCTTCCTTTATCAGGCTGCCGCTTGCAAATCACACGGGCGACCCGCTTCCCAAGGAGCACAACCTCCCTTCCCGTACTTGAGGGGTGAGGAGGGGGAAAGATCCCCGACTGAGCGAAAGCTTCTGATCAAAAACTGTTCAGAAGCGGTGGCGGTAGGTACAGCACCTGTTTCGTTACGTTTGAGAAGCGAGGCGCCTACTTAGCCCCGGTTTCTCCTGACTGCTGCTCTTCCAGAGAGAAAAGAGAAGGGGATCGGCGTGCTGCTAGAGGATTGGGGATTGTGATCTTTTTAAACTTGTCAATGAGAATGTGGTATATGTGTGTTTATAAATGTAGCTAATCTAGAGAAACGGGACTTGAAAGAATCAACTGTTTTTCCATGCTCAGCGTGACAGAGACTTTAAACGAATGGTGTCTTTTAATGGTTCTGATGCGAGGAGCCATATCTTTCGCCATTATTGAGGACTCCCTTTCAGGAGACTAATGTCTCTCAGGGAAGATCCTATTGCTAAAATTCAACAGTAGGTATTTCCACTGATGCTTTATGGATTCACCAAATTCTTGAAAGTCTGCAGATTTCATTACATACTAAATTCCTGATTGTACGGGCATCAGCACTGATGTTAATATTAGAGAAAGTAACTTCCAAAAGTGAATTCACAGGATCAAAAGTGGAGAGAAAAGATGCTGCGTGAAAGAGGTGGAACAAGGATGAGGTTTTGAAGAATGCAATCTTAACTATCTGCCATAACGTGCCAAAAAAAAAGCTTGGGATGAATAAAGATGAAATGCTACATTGGCTTACAAGGAACGTGTTCAGTGGAGAAGGAGAAAGGGATGAGTGCAGAAAGAGTAACTAAGACCAGAAGCAGGAGAAATAATTGGAGAAAAGGGAACAACACATATAGGGTCATAATATTTAAAGACCTTCAGGTTATATACCAAGATTTATACTGAAAACAAGTTTATCTGAATTCTTCATGATGCCATGCTCATTCCTTCCCTGCATATGACTTACAGCTTTTTTAGGACTCCTATCAAGTACCCTGGATAGGAGGGCTCCTCTGTTAAGATAGAGATGTAATCCTGGGCTTAATCATTACTTTTTATTATCACTATTTCCAAAAGTCAGAATATTAAATATGATAGTAGCAAAATAGCTGAAGTCTCTTGTGATTAAAACAGCAATCTTTCATATAGCAAACACAGCAGAACTTACTTCTGAGTAAACAAGCAGAGAGTTCAACTTCATATCCCATTTGAAGCAATGAAGTTTAAAACTGCAGCAGTTTAAATTGTTTGGAACATAATCTATATTGTATATGAATGCCAGTGAATTTTGTGTTTTTCTATTATGTAAATTTACCTTACAAAAAACAAAAGTTCCAGGACTGTGTGTCACAGATTTGCTTTTTATTTTTATTAATCTGTTTTAACTCAAAATCCACATATCAAATTGTTTTAAGCTGGCATGCTTTACAGTTTGCTTTCAAATTTCATGCCCGATGTTTGCAGTTGTATTTGTCTTTTCCCATGCTAGATTATGAGAATTCTGTTTCTCAAAATCTAATTCCAAATGTAAGCATCAATTCACACTTTATTATTTAAACTGGATTTGGACTGACTCAAACTGATTAGAGACCAATAGCACTTAGATTTATATACACTGCTTCACAGTGCTTTACAGCCTTCTCTCAGCGGTTTACAGAATCAGCATATTGCCCCCAACAATCTGGGTCCTCATTTTACCCACCTCGGAAGGATGGAAGGCTGAGTCAATCTTGAGCCTGTGAGATTTGATCTGCCAAACTGCAGGCAGATGGTGATCAGCAGAAGTAGCCTGCAGTACTGCATTCTATCCACTGAGCCCCCACAATTCTTCATAGCATTTTAACTTGTTTAATATGTATCCATGTACTATACCTGTGATGGCGAACCTATGACACTTGTTCCAGAGGTGGCACGCAGAGCCTTCTCTGTGGGCATGTGCAACATCGCCGGCTGCTCTTCTGGTTTCCAACTTGAACATGCCCACTGGCCAGCTGGTTTTCACGGGCACTGGAGCATCAGAAAATGGCCTGAAAACTGTGCCAAAAATGACCAAAAAAACAGGGCGTTTTTCAGGCCAGAAATGGTCCAAAACAGCCTGAAAATGCCCTGAAAAACAGCCAAAAAACAGGCTTGCACACGCCGGCCAGATGGTCTTTGGGTTTCCAGTGCTCTGGTACATGCAAAGACCAGCTAACTGGCGTGCATGCACATGCCAGAAACCCAAAGACCAGTTGGCTGGCACACGCATACACACCGACCAGCTGGTCTTTGGGCACTCCAGCACACGCTCGCACATGTGTGTGCATTTCAGTTTGGCCACTCAGTGCCGAAAAGGTTCACCATCCATTGTACTATACCTAGTGTGGTATAGCAATCTCAGTGTTGGACAATGACCTAGAATCAAAACTATATTTAGTCAGTAACATTTTATTGGAAACTTTAAAGGTATCGGTAATATACCCAGATTCATCTACTAAGGGTAAAATATATAGAAGCATCTTAAGATAATATGTTCTTATTTAAAAAGTAGGAATAGCATTGAAACACAACTATTAAGAAACTGCTACTGCTAACCAAGTCTGTTAGAAAAAAGACTTTTGTTTCAAACAAAAAAGTGCTTTTATTGTCATTTTTATTTATTTAAAATAAATTTTAAATCTAGTAGCAACCACAACGGAGAAGCAAAATTGTGAGAGTGATGCAAACAACATTGAGGCATTACAATGCAAGCACCACCATTTTTGATGAACACTGCAACATCACAGCATGTCTCAAAGAGGTGGCGCTTGTGACACTGCTATATAATTTGAAAAAATAAACCTGTTAAATCAATTGTATGGTATATCTGGAAGTGGTATTCACTTACTTTCCCTACCGGTTCTCAAATGTGAATGTCCACATCCACGCATGCACGTATGGGTCTGAGTGGTGTTCCTTCTTTGTGTATCTTGGGGAGGCCATAGAGCTTGGGGCACTCTTCATCTCAAACTCAGTAACAAAATCCACCCAGTACTCTGGGACAAATCCAAGCAACTAGCCCTCTGGAGAGTCGAAACAGAAACCTCCCACAAGACAGATACACACACCAACAAACTCCACAGACTAGAAAAACACCAGACGCCCAACCCCCCACTTAGACACCACTCAGACCCATAGTCAGCTCCATAGGCTCACCTCTACAGAATCTTGCCAAATAACTTCAGCCCTACACAGAATCCATCACCTCACATGTACAAAACTCACTCCACTTCATAGAAACAATAAAGAAACAAAACCTAAAACCCAGCGATCTACTCGTGAGCTTCGATGTCATATCCCTCTTCAACCAAGTGCCTATTAAAGAAGACTTGATAGCTATCCAAAACAAATACAACCCCCCTAAGCACATCCTATATCTGACCAACCACTGCCTAACCAACATATACTTTATCCACAATGGAGAAAGATACAAACAGATAGAAGGAGCACCTATGGGATCACCCCTCTCACCCATCATTGCAAACCTATGCACGGAACATTTTGAAACCAACGCCTTAGATAAATCGGAACACAAACTCTGGCTTAGATATATAGATGACATGTTCGTAATTTAGCCACACAGGAAGAAAAAACTGGACAACTTCCTCACACATCTCAACAGCCTACGCCCCAAAATACAATTTACTATGGAAATAGAAGCTAACAACCAACTTCCCTTTCTGGACGTCCTAATCTACAAAAAACCCAATGGCTCCCTAGGACACACCATCTACCGGGAAAAAAAACACACACCAACCGCTACTTAAACGCACAATCCCATCACCACCCTGAACAGATAAACTGTGTAGCCAAGACCCTCATCTCCAGAACCAAACGCCTAGCTGACAAAGACCACCTGAAAACTGAATTACACACTCTCACAAACGTACTAATTTCCAACAGATTCAAAAAGAAAATTACCAACCTAATCCAAAGGGAGACACCCCCCAAGAACCGAGACACAGAACAGGACAACGGCATCGCTCTCCTCCCTTANCTACAAATCTATTTAGAACCGGTTCCAGCTCCCTACCCCTCCGCCAGTCCCCACATCATCAAGATGAAGAGCAAGAGGAGGAATTCTGGGAGTTGAAGTCCACAAGACTTAAAGCTGTCAAGTTACAAGACCTTTGCACCCCTAACCCTTTAGCGAAAAAAACCCAGGAGTGTTGAAACTTGACAGCTTTAAGTCTTGTGGACTTCAACTCCCAGAATTCCTCCTCTTGCTCTTCATCTTGATGATGTGGGGACTGGCGGAGGGGTAGGGAGCTGGAACCGGTTCTAAATAGATTTGTAGATTTGTGGAACCTCTTCTATGGAGGTTAGAACTGGCAGGAACCAAACCCCTGACTGTTACCTAGTTTGGGTAATGAAAAATCTGCAAGAAAACAAGCAAGCACATAGAGCATCAAGGACCCCTCATTTCAACCCTGAGCTACAAATATTTGCCTTTATTACTTAACAGATTATCACATTAACTTTTATTTGATACTGGTA